CTGCACAGCAGCGCTGTCACCGCCATTGCCATCATAGCCCCAGGTAACAACTGATCCATCATCCAAAACGGCAGCAAACGCATTGCTTGTGGCTTGGATGTGGTGCACTGTCTTTAACCGATCCTGCACAGCCGTGCTGCTGCCACCATAGACAGAATGGCCCCAGGTGGCCACAGATCCATCGCTCAGAACGGCAGCAAAAGCCCAGTTGTTGCCACACAGCTGAACCCTGCCAATCTGCAAGGTCAAAGAGTCACCATTCTGCACGCCAGCTTCTTGAAGCCCCACAGATCCATCGAGGATACATTCAGATGAGTTCAGCAGCCGGCCTCCGACGCACCCTAGTTCGGTCTGTGCGCGGCGTTTGAAGTCTCCCAATTTCTCATCCGAGCCGCATTCCAATGCGACCGTCCTGCCACTAAGCAGCGACACGTGCACGAGAAACGCCATTGAGCACCTTCAGCCCTAGAACACCGACAAGAAAGCTAGAACTGTCCCCTTTGTCTTCGGTTCTCGGAGCTCAGCTACCTACATGGTGAAACGCTGCTCCTAAACTCTAAACCCCAAACCCNNCTAAACCCCAGACACTAAACCCTACATAACCTGGATAGCTCCCACCAGACAGAGGTTTTGACCTCATCTACACTTCCCCTGCGTCTTGCTATTGAAAATCAAGAACTGAAACCACCAACCCTGAAACTCTGACCGAAGATTCGACGTGTGTGGCGACATAAAGCTGCATTTTGTGGCGGGTTTGAGGCTACAGGCCTAGCCTCGAGGGCACAAATGCCTAGTCATGACAGTCTCACCTGGTCGAACTTGAGCAGAATCCTCCGTCTCAAATAACAACAGAAGTCCAAACGCCCGTAATTCAGGAGTGTATTTAACATAATGAAAGGGGCCTTGATTGGATTTCCTCAGTCAAAAGGCTTTGGCATCGAGTGACAGTGGCACCCACAACGACATTGCCAAGCATCAGAGAAAATGAGCGAAAAGCATACCGCGGATACGCAGAGACATCTAACAACACCAGTGGCAACAAACCATAACATTGCAGTGCTTGTTCATGTGTCTTGATATACTTACGATACTGATGTACGATTGCACTTGTTGTTTCGTGTCCCTGCATATGTGCTGTTGTTAAAGCAGTAGCTGTTTAGCTCCGAACGCATCGTCGTCGAAGCACGGCACCAGCAGCAGATTAAGCAGCACTAACAATCCTTGTCCTCGTCGTATGTCGTCGTCGCCTGCATCATATTGGTATAGTAGTAGTAGTAGTAGTGATCATAGTCGCAATCGTAGAAGTAGTTGTAGTCGTCATCGTTTTCGTAGGCGTCGCACTGTAGTATGATTGCTAGGTTATTATGACTGACCCAAAGCCTCCTATGTACCTATGTAGAATGTAGGGTTTCTAAATTAAATTCGGAATTACGATTATGATTTCGGGCAGTAACCCCACAACAGTACGTAGGACCCTTCGGGTAATAGGGTAATAGAACTAAGAACAAAGCTCAGGCCTTCGGAGCAGCAGCAGCCAAGGTCCCGAAGCCAAGGGCGCAGGCAAAAGGCGCCGGCTCCGGCGCCTGGGCGTGGGTGCGGGGTAACGTGGAGGGGGGGGGGGGGGGGGGGNNGGGGCGGTTGCAAAGTTAAGACTGCACTGACTAGAATAGGGTTCCGAGACAGGTCCTTTATCGGCTTTCTATATCGGTGGGTTTTACAAGGAAGGGGTTCTAGTATGGGGGCGTTGCGAGTCAGGAGTAGGAATTCTTGATTTTACCACTTTTGCTCCTATTGCAGTGTGCCAGGAATCTAGAACAAGTATTTGCGCAAGATTGCAAAGGCAATCTTGCCCCACTTTGGGGGGGGGGGGGGGCTTGCAAGCTTGGTCAATCTCGGCCTGAAGACTCGGCGAGCAAGTGAGGCAAGTGGAGCAAGATGACCAAGATTGCAAGATTAGCAAGATTGCTGGCAACCTTGCTTTTGGACCAAGATTGACCAAGGTTGCAAGATGACCAAGATAGTCAAGACGGTTCCACAAAATCATTGTTCTAAATTCTCGGCACAATGTACTATTACTATTACGATTACCACTATCAGTGGACATCGTTTGAAGAAGATACTCTGAACAAATCGGCTGAAGGCCTGGATAAAGAATCCTCATCAGGGCTCAAACGTTTTAGTCTAGTGCCCAACCGAAAACCCCCAAACCCAAAACTCACAGGTTTTGGCTTGGGGCTTGTAGGCTGCAGGGATTGGATACTGTAAGAGGGAGGAGGGTGAAAGGTTCTTCTGTCGACAAATTCGAACAAACGTGAACAAACGGCCTGGGGGTTCTCTAATTTAAGGAGGGTATAATGCAGGGGGGGGGGGGCTTAATAATTAGAATAGGGTTTTGGAACCCATGATACAATAATCATGGCAAGGAAGCCCCCAAACTAGTATATGTAATTATTAAGGCCCCTATACTAAGGGCATGTCCCCTTGGTACGGCTCTTGAAGGACTACCCCTATCAGGATGCCTAGCGTTCGGGCCAATGCTATAGAGTTTGGGATTGAACCCTAAACCCTAAACCCTAAACCCTAAACCCTAAACCCTAAACCCTAAACGAAGCTGAGGCTTGAGGTTCCTGCTGTTTTTGTGTCGGCCCTTTGGGATGACTTCGGATTTATCCCGGAGAAACTCCAGGTGAAGCATATTGGTTTAGGGGTTTAGGGTTTAGGGGTTTAGGGTTTAGGGTTTAGGGTTTAGGGTTTAGGGTTGTTCAAAGTCCGGATTTGGACCTTGCACCTGACTGCGGCCCTGAGGCTCAAGTTACCTAAGGTGGTAGTTTACTGACCATTGCATGATGAGCCTAAGCCGCTAACCCAAGGTCACGGTAAATGGAGGATTGGGGTAATGCAGGGGCGTTATTATGATTAGAATAGGGCTTTGGGGCCCATTATACTTTACGTATAATAAGGAACCCCCCCAAAAAACCCTAAACCCTAAACCTAAACCCTAAACCCTAACACATAGTGTAGGTAATGATTTAGGCCCCTATATTCGGGTTCGAGCTGAAGGCGCAGACTTCAGGATTCTGGGTTCACGAAATCCTTGGGAGTTCGGGTTTAGGGTTTAGGGTTTAGGGTTTAGGGTCAGTATAGTAAACCCTAGTCAGTTGCCCTAAGGGTCCAAGTACCCATTACTTCAAGACTTTGGGGCCTTTTTGGGGTACCTAAAACCCATAAATAAGGACTACTTTGTGGCCTTTTTGGGGTACCTAAAACCCATAAATAAGGACTACTTTGTGGCCTTTTTGGGTACCTAAAACCATAAATAAGGACTACTTGGGGCCTTTTTGGGTACCTAAAACCCATAAATAAGGACTACTTGGGGCCTTTTTGGGTACCTAAAACCCATAAATAAGGACTACTTTGTGGCCTTTTTGGGTACCTAAAACCATAAATAAGGACTACTTTGTGGCCTTTTTGGGTACCTAAAACCATAAATAAGGACTACTTGCACCCTTGGGGAGGAGCAGTCTCGAATCCAAGCCGCTGTGGTCGGACACCGTCCACGACGACAAGGCCTGGCAAACCTTGCAAAAAGGAGGATACAGGGGCCTGAATAACAGTTAGGTTTAGGGTTTAGGGTTTAGGGTTTAGGGTTTAGGGTTTAGGGTTTAGGGTTTAGGGGTTAGACTTCACTTGGGAGTGAAAGGTTGAGTCTAAGGTCTCTTCGGAGGATCTAATCTACAGGGTTCTCTCATGGTTCTATACGGTTTGAGGGCTTGGGCTATAAGTGTTCACGATGCCTTTGAAGGAGGGTTTGTTTCCTTTCACATAGGGGCCCTCATAATTGCCTGCGGGTTCTGTATCAACCTAGAATAAAATATGCATGGGAAACTATGGGAAACAATGGTCGGATATTGTTGCCGATTTTCCATGCTCCATGGCGTGATTTCCTACGCTATGTGGAGCTAGGCTGCGTTAAGTTAGGTATACGTGTGTGTTTGAGGATGCATGTATGATGTTGGTATGTACATAGGCATGTTCTGGAAATGCTGCAACTAGTTCACATGTCAAAGACGATAGTGAAGATGGTGCTCGTGTTGGTATTGTTGCTATTCGTGTTGGCATTGTTGCTACAATTGGTTCACTGGAATCGGTCCACAAGCATACTGCCCCCCTTGACCTCGTATCCGCGAGCTGCGTCGAAGCAGTTGCCTGCAGCATGCCGCCGTTGGTCCCGGTAAATACGGGTATATGGCCCACTATGGCCCAGTAGTATAGTAGGTCTCTAGGGTTCAACAGAGGGTAGATCGAGGGTCTGGGTTCCGTTCTCCTACGTCACGGCTTCGTGGGAAGGCTGGGCTGGCATGGGGGTTTCACGACGGGCGCATCTAACACTCCCCTGACACTGCGCGGACATTTGGATGTCAGCTTTTTGTGAAGGTTTTGATGTGATCGATATTATAGAGTATAGCCGTCATCAAGACAGTGAGGAAGGCAATGGCAATGACTGGACTACTGAAAAAAATTGAGACCTACACATAGCCTACACAGCTGTTTTTCTGAGCGTCCATATCAATCTGAGCTGTTCAACTCTGAAATCTCTGAACCCTAAGCCTAAGCCCCAAACCTGCAAACAACAACTAACACTGCAAGCAAGCAAGCTAAAATTTAACCCGCTCCCTCCCGAAATCCCAAACTCCAACGGCAAGACGTAAGAACAGAACGGGCCTCCAACGTTGGAAGGCGCTTGCGACGTTGTGACAATCCGCAACACGCCTCGGTGTATAGCGAGAACCTTTCACCCGACGGTACCCCTAAGCCCTAAACCCCAAACCCTGAACCCTAAACCCTAAGCCCTAAACCCTGAACCCTAAACCCTAAACAGCAGCATGACCTGTCCCCTCATAGAACCATAGAAAGTCCTCTGCATCCTCTAGTCCTCATCCTACCCCCTGAACCCTGGAGCCTAATCCCCCAAAGCCCTATACGGTTTAGGGTTTAGGGTTATAGGGTTTAGGGTTAGAGTGTAACCCTAAGGGTCCAAGTACCCATTATTTACGGACTTTGGGGCCTTTTTGGGTACCTAAAACCCTAAATAAGGACTACTTGGACCCTTAAAGTAGATCCTTAGCCTAAACGTCTATCGACCTTCAGACGAGCTATGTCCGAAAGACTTCGGGTGCGGGGAAAGCCTGTTGAGAGATCGGGCGAGGCCTGTCCGCTCTCGGAAGGATACGAACCCCAGACCCCAAACCCTGACACCCTATGAATTAATGTTGGAAGCTGAGAGTGCAGAACTGAGCCAAGAATGCCGTCCTCTCAATGCGCAATCGCGACTCTCACCCCTGGCCGACACTCTGGGATTAATTAGGGTTGAGGGCTTAGGAAGGCAATCCACAGGCCCTGAAACCAAAACCCGAAACCCTAAACGCCCAAACCCGAACCGCTCGCTTCCAACTGCAGAGAGTGGCTGGCCGTGTCGGCGGATACCTCCGTAGGCATCTAGACCTCGCATGACAGATGAAGGGGCTAAGGGATTAGGGCTTATGTAGGGCCTGTAGGGCTCAGGGATGAGGCTGTAGGTTTTAAGTAGCCTGTGGGGTTTCGGGTAGAGGTGTGTAGGGTGTGGGGTCCAGGGTCACAGGACCGAGGAAGCCCAAAGCTTGAGGGAGCAGGTTTGGGACCCCCTCCGACTAACGTTCGTGATGCTGCCCACTTGTCTCCCATGCCCCTTTTTAGGGTTTAGGGTTTAGGATCTGGGATGCCGAGATAAAAAGCTTTGACCATTTTCAAAAGCCCGTAGCCACTGCCGTAGTCTTGCCATCAGCCTCTGCTCACGCTCAGTCGTAGAATCGAAGTCCACATGATTTTCCTCTACTTGCCGGGCCGGAGAAGCTTGAGACGGATCCCCAATCAAAGTGCGGGCGGTATACTGCAGTACTTATCATCCTAAGGTTTCCTAGGCCCAAGCTGTCCTGAATCCTACCAGAAGCTCTACCGCCCAAAAGGCCCCAACCCCAGCACCCTGTCAGACACTTCTTTACATCAGATCCCTCAACTGCAAGGCAGGAGGTCCGTTATAGTACTTTCTTCTCATTACTCATCGGTTTAGAGTTTAGGGGTTTAGGGTTTAGGGTTTAGGGTTCAGGGCCCAACATGCTATGCAATACTTCTCTGTGCTTGGAAGCAACCAGGGAGTACAAAGGTATAAACTCGCTGATCGTAATGGTTACTTTACTTTAACAGATCCCCGCCAGAACACAGTTATGCCCTCGCCCCCATAATCATCATAGAACCCTAACGGGGTAAAGGAACCTTATTCGAATTACATCCAATTACTAAGGCCCCTCATTTACAAGATAACCCGATTACAACCCGACTCGATTTATCAAGACAGCTATATAGGCAACTGTCAAAATCATGGTCCTCTTGGTGATCCCAACATAACTCTACTCTTAATTCGGCATATTACGGAAATGTATATTTCGGGAACCCGAAAAAGAACCTGATTTGGAGAACCACCGAGATATGGGTTGGGTCCCCTTTTAGGGCCCCAATATAGTACGGCCTTATTAAAGGCACCCTAAAACGGACTTTAATTTAGAGAACTACCCATATCGCTGCAGGACAGGAAGCATCGAAGGCGGAGTATAGCCAGCTTCCATCTCCAGAGCGCGCTGCCTGGTGGGAAAAGGTTCGGGCGTAGGAGCGTTGGACGGAGAGAAGAGCTGTTGGGGGTGAGGATTAGGGTTTAGGGATTTAGGGGAGGTTCATGGGTAGTTCTAAGTGGGGTTATAATTGGGGTAACTATAGTTATAACCCATATTCGAAGGACTTATAACCCTACTTATAAGTACCCATGAACCTCCAAGTAGGGGGTGAGGATTCTGGAGCTTGAGGGGTTTCAGGGTGCAGGGTGCAGGGCTCTATAGGGTTTTTAACTTAAAGGTTTGTCGATGGGGGGTTTGGGGGTTTTAGGGTAAAAGGTGTGGGGTTTTAGGATGCATAGGGTTTTGGGTTGAGTTTGTGGCTTCGAGTTTCGGCCTACATAAGGCAGGGTTGTAGGGGTGGGGAGGTTGCGTGGTGATTTGGGTTTAGGGCGATTTGAAAGGTCAGGATGGACTCACTCACGATAGAGCTGACTCGTAAAGGCACTCCCACTTCCGGCATTATATCTAAACTCAGAGCTTCTTTTGCAGGCTTCAAGCTTCGACAGCTTTAAAGCCCTCCTGAAACACCTGAACCATAAGAATCAGGCGGGTACCCTTTCTCGTAGTGTTCAATTCTACTAAGGACTCCCCGCCAAAAAAACTGCGAGATATTGCTTCGATGTGTAGGAAACGGAAGACTTCGAACAACAGCAATGAAGCTCCTCCTCCTTCGAGCTGCTTTGACTCAGGGCTTAGTGTTTAGGGTTTGGGGTTTAGGGTTTAGGGGTTTAGGGTTGAAACAAAGAATGCAAACACTTTCGGGGTTTGAGCTCACGGATATCGCTTGAAAAGTAGAACTGGGTTGGCCTTTGAACCCTCTGAAAATCATTTATATAAGCGTCCCGTATAAACCCAAATAACGAAAACAAAAGATGTCCCAAAAACCAACCTAAAGAAGCCCTCCACCCCACTTAAGAAGACAAGCAGCTCTGCAGCAGGCGTTGGTCCTGTCGGTTCACCAGGTGGAGGAACGTAGGGTCTCAAACCATATAGGGGTTTAGGGCTTGGGGTTTGGGGTTTAGGGTTAAGGGTTCTTCCATAATGTAGGGGCCTTCAGAAGTAGAATAGGGTGTTGGGGCCCATTATACTGTTAATAATTACAATGAGTAAACCCCAAAATAGTATCGGAAATTTATTTAGGCCCCTACATTACCGTCCTGCTTCTTCGTCATGACCAACATCGATCATCAGCAAACGAACATCATCATCACCATCACCATCATCATCATCAGCAGCAGCATCAGCAGCAGCATCAGCATCAGCATCAGCATCATGAGTCTAGAGTTGTCCAAGTGCCTATGTTGCATTCACTCTCGGTAAGGGTCCAAGCGTCGGCACCGCAAACCATTTAGAGTATGGGCTAACTTTTTGCTAAAATTGCTTATCCTCAACGCTCAAGCTTCACCTAGCCCTTCCTTGCAAAGACCCTGCAGTTCCATTTTGCGTACTATAGGGGCCTTAATACTTTAACTAAGGTTTCGGGGCTCTTTATATACTATAACTATAAATATAAGGAGGACCCTCCAAAAAAAAATATTATAGGTAATCTGTTTTAGGTCCCTACATTACACATGGACTCTCTAGGGTTGACGTGAGCTTCAAGCTTTGCGCGCGATGGCTACCTTATAGTAGCCCTTTTAGAACCCTTTAAGGAACCCCTCAAAGGAACCCCGAAGAACCCTATTCTAATCATTAAGGTCCCTAAGCCCTAACCCCTAAACCCATAAACTCTAAACCCTAAACCCCTAAACCCGCCTTCAGTGACCTGGTCGGGTCTTTTTTTTGCAGAGCCTGAAGTTTTTGGTTCTTATGTTTAGGGCCTTTAGGGTTCAGGGTTTAGGGTTTGGGGTTTAGGGTTTTTAGGGTTTTTAGAGTCTTTAGGGTTTTGATTGTTTTTAGGGCTTTTGGGTTTTTTAGGGTCTTTAGGGTTCCTGGCTTCGGCGTTCTCCACGTCACGTGTTCTTTGAGGCCCGTTTCTGAAAAAACAGAAATGAGGACTCTATCTAAGGGTTCCAGAAGGTTGTTGGGTAAGGGTTCTGTAATGCGCTTGCTGCAAGGATTCTATCGAGTCCGATGAGGTTTTCTGCGAGGGTTCTGTAAGGGTCCTTACAAGGGTCTACAGGGGCATTCAGAGCTTGGGGGTGAGGCTTTTGACCGAGTCCTCCTCCATCTTTTTTGCTGCCATTTGTGATAGGACGAGCCTGGACGGAGGCAGCTTTTCAAACTCAACGAAAACCCCAACCCCTAAACCCCTAAGCCCCTAAAACCCCTAAACCCTTAAACCCTTAAACCCCTAAACCCTTAAACCCTTAAACGCTTAAACCCTTAAACCCTAAGCCCTAAACCCCTGTAGCCATTTTGGTTCAACCCTCCAAAAACCGCCATCAGAAAGCCGAGGCCGGGTCCCAAAGCGTTTGGGCTTGGGCTTCTAGGGGTTTAGGGTTTAGGGTGTCTTGTTTTTCTTCTTGTATTTAGTTTTAGATGCTGCAAGAAAGATTTTGCAGCGACGTAATGATTGGACTTGGCGTTTCGGGTGTTGGGTTTTGGGGGGCTTCGGGATTCGCAGGGGCGTAAAAAGCTGGAAAGCTGACAGAAGGCCCCTGGACCTCGAACATGAGCCAAGAGGCATCAAACCGTATACCTTAATGGAAACCCTAAGTTCCAAAACTCAAGCCCTAATAATGAGAATAGGGATTGGGGGGGTGAAATGCACTACAGTTGCCCAAAACCCTGTTCTAACTGTTAAGGCTCCTACATTACACTCGCCCTCAACCCAAAACAAGCTGCGTTTGAACCAATAGCACACAGATCGGAGCCGTGGTTTTCGGTGTCACATGGGAACCAAGCATTCTGAGTGGTGCCTCGAGGAATGAGTGTTCATATCTCATATACAAGCATACACCACATACAACACATCTGACACATCATATACACACTGATATACTCTTGCGTGCTCTTGCTTGGTGTTTGACCCTACTAAGCATCGATAAGCGTCTTATACCCTAAACCCTAAACCCTAAAACCCTGAACCCTAAACCCTACACCCTAAAACCCTGAACCCTATACCTTAAACCCCCTGAAGCCCCCAAACCGCCGAAATCCATGTGCCTGTTTTGTCTCCTCCGCTCTTCGGGTGGCTTCACCCGCCGTTTGGGCGTCGGTGCCTTCAGGCCGGGGATTTTCGGGTTTAGGGCTTTAAGCGTTTATGCAAGCAGTCAGCAGACAACCCAAGCGAGGCGATCAGGGTTTAGGGGGTTTAGGGTTCCAGAAAGGTTATGTGCATGGTTGTAATATACGATGCCCCAAAACCTGTTCTCACTATTCAGGCCGCTTCATTATCCTCGATGCTTGTCGCCACTGCACAAACCGCACAGCTTGACCAACGCCGCATCACAGGAAGTCAGGTTCAACACATGCTTGCACTTGGTAAACAAATTCAACCATACGGACTGACTGTGTTATTCTAGGATCCTAGTCACTAGCCTCGAGGCGGTCTCAAGCCTACCGGGTGGAGAAACTCAAGCCTTCAAGCTGCGAGTTCCTGTTTTAAACATGGGATTTTTCATGCCGGGCCTTGTAAGAGTCATGTAAAGCTTACGCCGCAAGCCCTGATCCCCCAAACACTTGGCACCAAATCCATCCACTGACCACGGAACGAAGACGTGAAACCGAAACAATCAAGCCCCCTAACCCCCCAGTTACCTACTATATAGGGTACTAGAGCCCCTAAGGCCCTATATAATAGGTAACTGGGGGGTTGGGGGCCGTTTAGGAGTTTAGGGTTTAACCCTAAGCCCTAAACCCTAAACCCTAAACCCCGGTTTAAGTTAAGGGCCCAGCCTTCTTGCCAAGATGAGTGAAGTCGGACCTAGCCGAAGAGCTTCCACAGCAGGCACAACCAGACAAATTGCATGTGGATGTATATTCAGTACTCAGACATGAATGAGTATACAATTTCAATTAACTGTATGGCTTGCCTTATTCCGTTCTTACACTCAGACGAACATAAATACATGCATGCATTCATGCATGCCTTTGTGCTTTCATGCGTACATACATGCATGCATGCATACCTATATACCTACGTACTAGATTGTACTTACGCGCGCGCCTACACATGTACGGCCGCATTTGCATTCAGTCGTTGATTAAGCCTGCGAGTTGTAGTTGTGAGCGGCTGTAGGATGCCGGTTGGCGCTCTACTTGATATTATAGGAGTTCAAGCTTCCATAAACAGCAAACCGAATCCTGTAGAGTACAAAAAACGCGCATGTTGATTCCAGACTAGTACATATCTCTCAATGATGGCATATAAAACACATACAGACAAGTACTACACAAATCCAGCTGAGTAGGTTGGGAGGCTGAGTCATTGAAGCAGCGCCGGCAGCAGATGCGTGTGGTTGGAGGTGTAACTAGCTGTGAGGTTTAGAATAGTGGGCCCGAGAAACCGAAGTGAGTCTAGACGTAATTCAGAAGGTTTCATAATGAATAAATACGTATTGCGGTAGTAGAGTTTGGGGAGATATTACAACATGCTTTCTCAGGGATTACACGCAAATCGATATTGCTGCCACTTATGCAGTACCCTGTATATTGAGCAGGGAAGCTGTGCCCACACACCACTCAAGACTCTAATTGCACACCCGTTTGCCCACGTCCTAAAACTGAGACGGGGGCCACATTCTAGCAAGTCCCGACTTACTTGGAGGTTCATGGGTAGTTATGAGCAGGGTTGTACATCCCCTAATACCTGTCTAGGGTTTAGGGTTTAGAGGTTTAGGAAAGTTTAGGGTTATAACTATAGGCAGTTATCCTGCAGCTGATAACCCCACTTATGACTACCCCTGAACCTCCAAGTATTATTGAGTATGGGACCCGGAGAGCTAAATCCTTCGAGCCTTCCCAACCCTTACCTGGACAGTTTAGGGCTTAGGTTTTTCGGGATCAAGTTCCTTAGACAAGTAGCGCTTTTTTGCAGCTCGGGCAACCCTAAACCCTAAACCCTAAACCCTAAACCCCTAAACCCTAAAACCCTGCAAACCTACTCTCTCTGAGCACCCCGAATGCTTGCATTCCCGGCAACAGTGTTTTGGAGGGCGATCTCGGTGACTGAGGTGAGGGCGACCTTTGAGGTGAGGAGGCCTGCGTGGCGGCTTAGGACTCAGGAGTTTAGAATTTGGGGGCTTAGGGGCTCGGGACTCAGGAGTTTAGAATTTGGGGGCTTAGGGGCTCGGGCTTAGAGTTTAGGGTTTGGGGCTCAGGAGACGTAGGGTGTAGGGGTTTGGGTGATTAGGGCTTACTGTAGGAGCTTCAGGGAAGGAGTGCGGAGGGCCTTTGCGGCAGGTTTTGGTGTAGTTTCGGATTGTCAGGGAAAACTCGCCAGCTTCCTGGGGGACCTACAGGCTACCTTTATGGATATGGCTTCTTTAGAGGATTCCTTTAAGGGGTTCTGCCATTTTGTGAAGGAGCTATGATGCATAACCGGGTGCCAGCATATGAAGTGCCCTAATACTGAGTATTTTGTAGTACATTTATATATAATATGACCAGTTAATAACCTGAAGCCTACACAGGAAGTACTAAACACTCAGACGCGTACATGATGACACAAAAAAAGACTAGTTTAAGAAGCACTGCATAATCGAAGGCATGCGTATTCCTTAAATGGAGGGTCTTGGGCGCCTTGGGTGCAAACCCGTTGCCCAAACCCCAAAAAGTTGTTCCTTATGACCCCTAAACCCCGAACCCTAAACCCTATAAACCCTATAAACCCTAAAAACCCCTAAACCCCTAAACCCCAAACCCTAAACCCTAAACCCTAAACCCCTAAACCCTAAACCCTTATCGGGTGCTGGCATCCTTGGTCCTCAGGTATGACCGAAACCCTGTTAAACCTGCAGGCCCTGGAAGCCTTGGACCCTTGTAGAACCTTGAAAGCAGAGCGACACAAAACTGCCTCAATAATTGCGGATACTACTTTGGGGGTTTCCTTACTGACTAATCACCGATACTATTTTGAGGGGTTCCTTATTATGATTATAATCTAATGGGCCCAAAACCCTATTCTAATTCTTAAGGCACCCTATATTAGACCCTAATTTACGGTTCAGGGCGCTGCCCCTAAAACCCCTAAAACCCTAAGCCCCTAAAACCCTAAACCCCCAAACCCCTAAAACCCTAAACCCCTAAAACCCCTAAAACCCCTAAACCCTAAACCCTAAACCCCAAGCTCCCCAGCCTTTGAGCGGTTCCGGCCCAGGTCCATCCTTGCATTCACGGAGGAGGGCGTGGAAGGCTTAGTTTTGCCAAGAAGCTTATGGGTTCTATCGGTTCCGTACAGATTTTATATCGTTCTGCCAGGGGTTTAGGAGTAGGGTTCGGGTTCTCGTGGGCATTTCACAAGAGCTAGCAATTACGTTCCTGCCGGGTTCAGGATCGCGTCTTCAGGGTGGGGGATTTGTTGGGCCGGTGCTTTTTGTTGGGCTATGGTTAGGGTTTAGGGTTTAAGGTTTAGGGTCTAGGGTTTAGGGTTCAGATCCAAGTGGCAGCGTCTTCGTCGGCGTACTTGGTGACGATGGGGAAGACGCCCCGGAACCCGCCTGTGGAAGTCATTAGTGCTGATGAAGAACCCCACCTTACCGATTTCACCACATCACAATGCCTGATGCATGCATGCATGCACATACGCATGTGCACGCGCTTACATGTCTCTCTCTCTCTCTCTATATATATATATTTACATATACATGTATGCACCCATCTTTGCACACGTACGTGATACACATACACACACACACACACACGCACGCAAATAAATAAATAAATAAATATATATATATATATATATACATATATAGCCATAAAATGAATGTTCTGTCCGAAATGAACTTTACATGCCTAGCCTGTTCTTTCACTGGTGACTCTAGCTGTCTTATATAATTAGGTATTCGTGTGGAACTGCTCGCCCTTTTCAGGGCTCTGGTAGTGTGGTTGAATGTCCCTACACCCTAAACCCCTAATCCCTGAACCCTAAACACCCCTAAACCAACCCTTAAACCCCTAAACCCCCAAAACCCCTGAAACCCTAAACCC